TCATCATAGAGTCCACATACTACGTAAGAGTCTGTTGCTAACATCGTCATGCCAATGCTATCCTTCTTATCCCTTCAATCATGCCAGTTGAGATCTGGCCGTTCCAAGGCTAATTTGCGTTCTGCTAGAGTAGAGTCTTGTCAACACACCCCGTCTCTGATCATCTGTGAGCCACGGTGTCTGCCAGGGTCCCGTAAAGTTCAGCCATGTTAGCGGCCACCAGTAACATTAGGGGAAAGGGAAATACACCAGTATGTATTAGAAGATTACGTTGTCTTGTCACATGACATTGAGATTCGTTTTTCTGCTTCATCCCAACTATTACTTTGTGGAAATCTTTGCTAGTGTGTGTATGCTACCTGCATCTCCCCCTCCAAAGCATAGGTTACTGTAGCCTACTGGCGACGTTACAAGTGTTATTCAGAAATTAGGGAGATATTTTTAATTAGAGAAGAATGGATAAACGTTTTAAATGCTAGTTAATTAAGGATACTATAGTTATTACGTTTCACATTGGATTTATTAACTACAAAAATGTAAAAGTATGTTTTTATTCTGGTGCCGCTCTGCACCACAAGCTTGTTAGCTAGCTAAGCCTCCTCCTCCACCCTCGCTCGCTCTCTCCTCACCCGCAAAATTTTAGTCGCATCCCACGCTGTACACTTGTCTATCACACATATAAACAACTAGGCTATAGCTTGCCCGCTTCATTGCAGGCTGCTCTATCCACACTGATTGGTGAAGTAATTTAATGTCGAGCTTCATGTAAAAAAAAAACATATTTTATATTTCAGAGGTTTCAAAAGGAACATAAAGGAACGATATAAAGCGTTACTTATTTTGTGTTCGAGATGGTTCAGAACTTTATTTTGCTGGTCGGAACAGTGGAACGGAACGCAAAAAAGAATGGTTCTGTTCAGAATGAAACGATTGGAAAATAATTTTGGTTCCAATCCCTGCTCTCGACTGACCGTACATATAAACTAGGCTTGGGCTGACCGTACATATAAGCTTGGCTTGGGCTGACCGTACATATAAGCTAGACTTGGGCTGACCGTACATATAACCGTACTTGGGCGACAGGCTTTGCCGCTAAAAGATGAGGAGCAGTAAGCCCTTGATAGAATTAAAATAAGTCACGGCATTAGCTGAAAATTGGCCAATTGAAGGCCAATGATTACTTTAAACCTCAAGGTGGTCTTTCCAACCAGTGATAGTGACGGGTATTCTGTTTACGGTACCCTCAAGCTGTCCCGCTCCCACTTAAGATTACTTACTTAAGCCCTGATCACCACAAATCAGCTATAAGATTTACCTTACGCATGTAGTTTTTCTGCAAGGTCTGTAAGCCAATAGTGGCAAAGCCCCCCTTTCTTCTTCCATTGCTCCTGCATTGTAAGAGCCTTTCACCCCCCTCAACTCACTACAACCCAGAGGTCCCAGAAATTGAATTAAAATATGCTTTTTTCAAGCCCGCCTGAGTCCACTCAAGCTGTGAAGAGTTAGTCTTGGTGTTGTGCTTACAGAACCTCATTGTGGACCCTCTAGGTGTAGAAAGCATTGCATGTCTTGAGGGGCTGTGTTTACGCTAGCTTAGATATGTGCAGATGAGGAATGAATAACAATAAAGTAGGTACGTGTGAATGAACGTTGGCCGTCCTAGCAGGGAGTAATCTAATGCTGTATGGAATGACACACACCCACCGTTGGCAAGCTACTCAAATAGGAAGACTGCCTATACCGAACAAAGTTCATCTTAGTTTTTGCAGGATGCAGAGCTCAATTTTGTCTCTTCCCCTCTCTAACAAACTCACAAATGCTGTGACTCCTTCATGTAGTGTGGTCACATGATGCCCTCCCCTACTATATTTTTGCCCTTGACTTCAAACCAGGGGCAACCCCCAGCCTTCGCAGTAACATGGGACGCAAATGAGAGGAAATTAAGCTATTCACTAAACTCTTAAGTCTCTAAATCTAATAACAAACATGAGGGCAGCGACCCGTGTTGTGGTCTGTAGATTGGAAGCTCTTGTTTGTCCGTGGGTCATTGTAACCCTTTTCAACCATGGTACCGGTGTAGTCTGCGGGAAACAATCCTTTATATATTCCCCAATTCCATAGTTTTCTCACTGAGCCCGAGTACAGTCCGTAAAAACAATAAAAAATAAATGAGAAAAGGTTGGACTGGTCCCTCGAAATAAATGACACACTGTTTGAGGATCCACATTCCCATGCATTGACACAAACCAAAAGTGCAGATGAGGTTTTGGAACTATGTAGTACATAACAGAGATGATGTGTTTAGATAATTGTGGTGTAGAAGCTGGCGGACGCGTGTGGAGTGATTTTCATGGACTGTAATCAGTCTCAGCTGAAGTGGGGTTTTCCCTGATCGCTCCAAAACCTCTGGCGTGCGCCGGTGACCGCAGAGAGAGGGTTGAGAAGTTGAGTGGTAGGGTGACTGACACCCATGCCTCTTGTGGAATTGTAGGGGGAGAGCTAGATCTCTTCTTTAAAGCCTGAACATCCTTCCAGGGTAGTTAATTCCTGCAGTTGGTCTTTCCACATAGGGAAGCTAACTTCTTGCTTGAACAGAAGAACCTCAAGTTACACTCCCCTCATATGTATTTGGACAGTGAAGCTAAAAATGTGACTTTATACTCCAACATATATACTCCAAATGTTTCATACGAGGCGACAGTACAGAATGTCACCTTTTTATTTGAGGGTATTTTCATACATACCTGTTTTACCGTTTAGGAATGAAAGCACTTTATGTATCTAGTCTCCCTATTTGGACAAATGTACTTAGTGTGTTAAAGTAGTCAAATGTTTAGTATTTGGTCCCATATTCATACAAACTCGTTGAATGCCAGTTACTATTGGGAAAACCAACCCAAAACACAACCAAAACAAACTGCAAATGCATCCAACGAGTTTGTAGAGTCAACAGGTTGATGTAGTCATTGTGTGCTAAGAATATTGGACCAAATACTAAACTTTTGATTGATTGTTCATCTCTGGTGACTGGTCTTTATACATTTAGAACACAGCATAGCAAACAGAAGCAAACCTCTTAAATCAATCCAAGATGGCTTCAGTCGTCTCCTGTTGCAGTTGCATACAATACTTTTGATATTTTGCCTCTTGACAGCAAATGTCCCCACAGTTGTGACTGCCACAACCCAGGCAGGCGCCACCACAATAGAGAACAAGTTGAAGAGCTAGTGATTTTTCGTCTCAGGGGTCTTTGTCTCCCAGCTGGGAGCTCTTAGCAGCGCAGTAACAACCACTCTATTGGAGAAGATGGGAATGTATGTTCTCACTTTTAGCTCCTCAACTCACTGGTGAGGTAAGCTGAAGGTGGACTGAAAGCAGCTGGGCCTTAGCTCACAGTCATACTATTTGACCTTGGCTTGCCCAGAAAAACTATACAACATTGTTTCATTTGTTCTATTATATTGGTCTGGAAACAAACTTTCCATCTCCTGTACAGATACTACATTACCCGTTTTCATGATGTGTCGTGCTGATTATGCTAGTCAGTGGGGGAAGTTTTGAACACGTCCCCTCTTTGTGTAATATGATCACAGAAATTACCTCAAAGACTTTCCCATGTTACTTCCTCCAAACATCGATTGAATTACAACTCAGGTTGACTCATCCATTAATTTCTCTACAGTCTGACAGTAGTGGAGCAGTAGGTCCTGCGTGTCTGAGTGGGTGTAATCCTTTAGAGTAGAGGCTACCGTGAGCCACAACGTAAACACGACTAAACTCTAATGCTAATCCTTATCATTTATAGCGGGGGGGCCATGACTGTCTGACCTTGCGGCTAAGCACAACACCTGCACGGAATCTAAACTAGGATGGCGTAGGCTAATTGAAATTGATGGCGAGGGCTCCTGTTTGTTGACTTTGGGAGGGCAGTTAGTTAGCGGAGCACACTAACATCCTGTCTCTAGCGCAGTGTTTCCCAAACTCGGTCCTCAGGACCCCAAGGGGTGCATGTTTTGGTTACACAGCTGATTCAAATTATCAAAGCTTGACTATTTTTTAATCAGCTGTGTAGTGCTAGGGCAAAAAACTAAACATGCACCCCTTCGGGTCCTGAGGACCGAGTTTGGGAAACCCTGCTCTAGCGAGTCAGTAGTCAGGCCTAATTTAAGGATGCATTCCTCACAGCATTCCTCACGAAAGAGTCAGAGAGTCAGGATTTTAGAATGCTACCCTAGTAATTGTAGAAAATATATATCTCGCTCTGTGTAATCCACTTGGTATATCAACTGATGCAGTCGTTACAATATAAAAATTTCCTCTGAACTTATGTGGAACATTATAAAATGAGTCAAACAACTTCAATGAAACTATAAATTGACTCATTCAAAATGTTTCGATGAAAGCAGGCAGCCTAAAGTCGGTCATTTAATATTTCTGACCATAACTGCCTGGTGTCAGTCTGACCTTGGAAAAAAGTTTTTTATTTATTAGTGGTAACATTTAGTTTAGTTTTATGAGTTCTGGACTGCTGCCGGTGTCATGAGTTGATAGACCAGAACATGGAGACAATCACGTGAATCAATTGTCCAGTGAGATTTATTTTTGTGCATTACTTTCAAAATTGTAATGAAGAATACATGTTGTTATGCTCACAGGTTTGAGCTCTTGATTTGCCATTAGATGCCATTAGGCTATGATGAATCATAACTGTAGCTTTTTGTTTAGATAATGCAAGCAAAAAATGCCTCTTTTGTCCTGAAATTGTATCATTCAATTAATAGACATCAGTTCCTGAATAAATGTTATTTAAATCAAATCGATTAATTTGTGAAAACCACTAGCCAATTGAGAAAAGGTCATAAATTGAGCAATTACAGATTTGGCAGTCTCTGCTGCATGATATATGAAATAGGTTTTCAACGTGTGTATTCTATGACCCCTTTTCATCTGATTGAACTGAATTTAATTCCTCTCTTCTCCTTCCATATTTCCCTCCACAGACAGTGCTCATTGGATCGGAGCCCCACACCATGACTTGCTGAAGCCCTTTTTGCTGCTACCCACCCCCCTTCTCCTCATTCAAGATGGTCCTTCCGGAACGGATGAGGTGGCGTCTCCTGCTGGCAGCCCTCACACTCACTTCCTGTCTACTGTCCGCCATGGCCACGCCCTTTCCCAAGGACCTGGAGCCAATCAATGTTGTCGGATGGGAGCGTGAGTAGCCCCACCAGCCCCCTGATTGGCTTAGAGTGATTTAAAAGGCCAAGTGGTGCATTGTTGTGTATTTTTCCTCTGTGATATAAGGGGATTAATTTAGTAGCACGGGACTGGTTGTTAGAGTGCCCTAATATGATGTGACATATAAATCTACCCCAGAGATAGGGGAGGAAGATTGCTGTGATATTTGTCAATAGCAGCACGCAAGGAAACAGATACCCTATTTGCATGGCCTAAAGCTGTCTCAGAGCCCTAATGCTACCTTGTTAATCCATTGATGAGCTGAAGTCTGGCTGTAGAGTTGGCCTACACAGGAGATGAGTGTCTTGTGCAACTTAAACACAATATTAGATTAAGCAGAGATGTGCACTCAAAATGGCCATCATTGGTTTTTGAGTGGGTATTGGGCACAGTTTTCCCACAGTTCTCCAACTATATGTGGGTCTATCGGCTCCAGGAGGTATGTTTTACATAATAGTTAATGAGCCGGACAGGTTCTATACATTATCGGTGTGAGAAAGGTGGATAAAGAGAGGCAAAGGAGAAAGTGTCACTGAGGGGCTGTCATTGGCATTGTGGCATTAGACAGGAGTTGGTTTGTGCGGTCAACAGCTTAGAATCTCGGAAGGAGAGAGGGAAAAAGAACGAGAGGGAGTTTACAGTGTGGTTCTGGTTTACAGTGTGGTTCTGGTTCTGGTTTACAGTGTGGTTCTGGTATGCACAAATCAAAGTCAAGGTATAATGCTGAACATTTCAGACTGATTTCAGCTCCTTTTTGCCAAATGTAGTAGGTAACACACCTTGAAACCGATTGATTACGGATCTCCTGACATCTCAGACAGTGGAAATGACAGCATCAGACCTACCTACACTAACTGGGAGTGAGAGTGGACTTCTCAAGGGCATTTTGTTTAGTGTTAGAGCATATTCGGCACCTCACTCTGCATGTTGCAAGCTGGCATCGTCTTTGCCATCGACGAAATGCCAACAGTCTTATCATTTAATGAACACTTTTGCCTAGTCATCATATTTGCTGTTGTGTTGTCCAAACAAAGCCTTTCGACAGAAGTTTAATCTTACGGCTACAGTATGTGCTTTAATAATTGCAATTTATGCAAATTGCTTACGACAGAACTACAGTAGCAGACACTTTATCTTAGCTCCCTCATCCCAAGCCAAATAAACTATGGCTCTATCAAACCTTGATCTACCCTTCAGCAGGGTTGTGTTCATTAGGCACCAAACGGAAGAAAACAGACAATAAAAACAGGGATTTGTCCAATAAGAAACGCTCATGTTTTCAAAAATGTTATGTTGCGTGCCTTTATGAACAACACACAGGACTGGACACAAAAGGCGAGAGCAGGACTAGCAGAGGTTTCTGTTCATTACCTTCCCCCCAGTCTGACCTTTAAGAAACAAGCAGGCCTCCTGAACCTGGATACAGTCCACAGAAAGAACAGGACATGACTTGAATGGAAAGTGTCTGACCAGAGTGAATGGTTTAGTTTAGCTACTGCAAACCTACGCCGTATCCATTTATTGCCACTAGCAACTGAAAATACAGCAAATACTACGGAATTAAAGATTTAAACACCATATCACACCAAAATGAGGCCTGTCAGGACCACGCGTGATAACCAATTAGAAATGACGACTTGAGATAGTAGTCATTCCCATAAGCTGTCCAGGAGTGAGCTGTCATGAATTGGAAAAATCTTGAAATGTATGTGATAATTGAACTATTGTTATCTTATAATTTCTCTCTCTTTGTAGACTCCTACCTATACCCAGGGTTCCAGGGGCTGGTGTCGGACAACGACACAACCAGACTAGGCCTGGACTTCCAGAGGATGCTGAGGATCAACCACATACTCTACATCGCTGCCAGGTCAGTCAGCCAATCCACTGCCTCCATTCTGGTCCACATGTTAACAATCGCAAACAATTTAACATCACAACCAGACTAACCAATTTAGGGTCTGTTTCCCTGAAGCATTTTCAATGGAGAATCCGGGAAACCAACCCTTAGAGTTTGCCTTTATTTATGAGACTATGTACAGCACACCATGACACTAAATCTTAGTCTTTACCCCACAGGGACCATGTTTTTGCAGTAAACCTGACCACAGCTGGTGACGACTTCGTCCCCCAGCTGGTAAGTTACGTAATCAAACACTCAATCAAACCTCACATGGCTATGCAAGATGGAATACAACATAAAAAACAAAACAGGAACTAACATGGCCTTGTGGTTTATTACTGCACACTTTTGATCTGCTTTTTCTCTTCTGAACACAAACTACCCATCATTTATTTGCAATATGAATTATATTTGTTTGTAGAAGTACCACAGCCTGGCCTCTACTGAGTTTTCCTCACTAATGGACTTGCCTGCAAACAATGGGCCTTAGCTTGGCTGCTCCCCCAGCTACCTCCCTCTCTGTTTAACATGAAAGACCACAGGACCCTCAAGCGTAACCCCAATATGGCAAAAGTCCAGTAGTTATACCCAGACCCCTTTTTCATATCAGCTTCCTAGAAACACCTGCTGCTGATGGGGCGGCGAAGTCAAGCGATGCTCTCAGCAGGCAGACCCAAAGTTCACCCAAAGGTCACAGAGAGGCCTCTTAACAGGCTATGGCCACACAAACACATTCTGTGATTGCGTCTGGCTCTTTCTTTTAACTCTATGTGTGGTGTGGTGGGGCTTTCTCTAGAGCATGGTGTGGTGTCATGTTTTGTTTCCCCCCCTTTCATGTATTGCAGAAGCTGACATGGAGGTCCAAGGATGTGGCCAAGTGTACCGTGAGGGGTAAAAACAGTGTGAGTATCTATCTCCACCATGTTCTATGTGTGTCTACTTTGAGGTTTGGAGAGAAAACACTAGCTACCGTTTGCCGTTCTTCAATGGGAGAATCGACTGTCCCTAGCAACATAAGTGCACCCTATAACATAATTGGATGGTTTCAGGGCTCCATCATTTTATTTGTTAATTGTTGTGATACCTAGTAATGCATCAGTGCTATTTAAAAAAGTCTATCCTGTGTGTTTTTCCAGGATGAATGCTACAACTACGTCAAAGTGCTGGTACCGCGGAACGATGAGACCCTGTTTGCTTGCGGCACCAATGCCTTCAACCCCACCTGCCGCAACTACAAGGTATGTGTGTGCGTTTGTGTGTGTGAGTCTAGGTGGTGATGTGTGCTGTTAATTTCTTTTTTTCATCAAACCTTTAGATTCAATAGAGCCATGATTGACGTTTGTTAATTTCACCCCAATTAGAAAGCTGTGATTGCTGATTTGCGGGCATGCAGAGACAATGAGCTAGTCATTATCACAATGCAACAATTTGAGTCTTCATTCACCCCCTCTTTTGCTAAGCCTTTTGTGTGTTCAGTCCTCTTGCATTGACAAGGTATAATTGCTTCCCGAGCAGTCGGTTTGCACTTCGAAATTAAGTCAGCACCATGCATATTCTTTCACTACTGTTTACAATATGGCCGTACAAATTCACCTGTTTTTTGCATACAATACAATTAGCATACATAAAATAGTGAGGTTGTTGAAAAGGCAAGAAAGATGACTTGTGTTAAGTTGCGTCACTTCAAATCTGGTATTGGAACAAAAGAGGTCAATACAAGTCTTCTAAAATAGACTAGTATTTTAATTAATGCAAAACACTTCAATGGTAAATATGATGTTCGTATATACGGGTCCACTGAAATACCACGCAGGGCAGACAGAGAACTGGTCCATTGTTATAAGTTCTTCTTTAAATACTCTGACAGAGATAGTTCCCGCTCCCTGCTGGCCAATCAGAGTAGAGACTGAGCGTGGTTTAGATTTACTCAGCCTATCGTTGGCGCACAGGCTGGTCCCAGGTCCTTGGCGCTTCACTGTTGCCAGGCATAAGTTGTTATCATCACAACTTGTCCAGAGAGTCAGCACTTTTGCAGTACACGTCCTTGAGCGCAGTTTAACAAAGAGGCAGTGTTTGTGTCTGTGTGAGACTCACAAGTCTTATCTCCCCCTACTCCCTAACATTCCTCACATTAATCACAGCTTGTTATGTTAAACAATTTATATCAGTACAGTACAAACCTATTATGTTTAATCATTAATGCATTCTTTCTAAGCTAGGCATCACATCTAGTTATAAGAAAATAGAGCCCCACACTTGTCTTGTCATTTAGCATTAGAAACGAGAGGTAATTACAGCTAATAGAAGGCAGTGAGGTGAAGCCAATCAGACAGATGTTGTTTTGTAGATAGATAGATATAGTGTAGATATTTTGTAGATAGATATAGTGTTTGGTGACTCACAGGACTTGTCTGAACATGTCACCTGGTGTAGGGAAAGTCCACAGAGCCCTTTACGAGTGAGTGTCAGGGGGATGGCGGTGTTTATATTTCCTTATGAATAATACAACGTGTGGAATCTCGAGGTGTGTATGTTCAATTATTGGAAGCTCAGAGCCACTGGACTGGTACAGAAGACTTCTGAGCTTAGATGATGCTTTAGTCTAGAGTAACTAGAGGTAAGAGACAGAACTAGTCTGTTTGGTAATGTCGCTAATAGACCAGACACTAACTAGAGGTAAGAGACAGAACTAGTCTGTTTGGTAACATCGCTAATAGACCAGACACTAACTAGAGGTAAGAGACAGAACTAGTCTGTTTGGTAACATCGCTAATAGACCAGACACTAACTAGAGGCAAGAGACAGAACTAGTCTGTTTGGTAACATTGCTAATAGACCAGACACTAATTAGAGGTAAGAGACAGAACTAGTCTGTTTGGTAACATCGCTAATAGACCAGACGCTAGCTAGAGGCAAGAGACAGAACTAGTCTGTTTGGTAACATCGATAATACACCAGACACTAACTAGAGGCAAGAGACAGAACTGTTTGGTGACATCGCTAATAGACCAGACACTAACTAGAGGCAAGAGACATAACTAGTCTGTTTGGTAACATTGCTAATAGACCAGACACTAATTAGAGGTAAGAGACAGAACTAGTCTGTTTGGTAACATTGCTAATAGACCAGGCGCTAACTAGAGGGAAGAGACAGAACTAGTCTGTTTGGTAACATCGATAACAGACCAGCAGAACTAGTCTGTTTGGTAATATCGCTAATAGACCAGACGCTAACTAGAGGTAAGAGACAGAACTAGTCTGTTTGGTAACATCGCTAATAGACCAGACACTAACTAGAGGCATGAGACAGAACTAGTCTGTTTGGTAACATCGCTAATAGACCAGACACTAACTAGAGGTAAGAGACAAAACTAGTCTGTTTGGTAATGTCGCTAGTGGACCAGACGCTAACTAGAGGTAAGAGACAGAACTAGTCTATTTGGTAACATCGCTAATAGACCAGACGCTAACTAGAGGTAAGTGACATAACTAGTCTGTTTGGTAACATCCCTAATAGACCAGACACTAACTAGAGGTAAGAGACAGAACTAGTCTCTTTGGTAACATCGCTAATAGACCGGACATTAACTAGAGGTAAGAGACAGAACTAGTCTGTTTGGTAACATTGCTAATTGACCAGACACTAACTAGAGGTAAGAGACAGAACTAGTCTGTTTGGTAACATCCCTAATAGACCAGACACTAACTAGAGGTAAGAGACAGAACTAGTCTCTTTGGTAACATCGCTAATAGACCGGACATTAACTAGAGGTAAGAGACAGAACTAGTCTGTTTGGTAACATTGCTAATTGACCAGACACTAACTAGAGGTAAGAGACAGAACTAGTCTGTTTGGTAACATTACTAACAGACCAGCAGAACTAGTCTGTTTGGTAATATCGCTAATAGACCAGACGCTAACTAGAGGTAAGAAACAGAACTAGTCTGTTTGGTAACATCGCCAACAGACCAGACGCTAACTAGATGTAAGAGACAGAACTAGTCTGTTTGGTAACATCGCTAATAGACCAGACACTAACTAGAGGTAAGAGACAGAACTAGTCTGTTTGGTAACATCGCTAATAGACCAGACACTAACTAGAGGTAAGAGACAGAACTAGTCTGTTTGGTAACATCGCTAATAGACCCGACGCTAACTAGAGGCAAGAGACAGAACTAGTCTGTTTGGTAACATCGATAATAGACCAGACACTAACTAGAGGCAAGAGACAGAACTAGTCTGTTTGGTAACATTACTAACAGACCAGCAGAACTAGTCTGTTTGGTAATATCGCTAATAGACCAGACACTAACTAGAGGTAAGAGACAGAACTAGTCTGTTTGGTAACATTGCTAACAGACCAGACACTAACTAAAGTCTATTAATCTAAAGTGGAAGTTGGGAGAGTTATATTTGAGTGTTTCAGTGAAACGTGAGGGAGGCCCCGCTCTCTCGCTTTCCCAGATGCTTAGTTAATTTCATTCCGATCTCCTTTGCATTATTGTAGCCTTTTCTGTAGCCTGTCAACTATGTGTCTGTCTATCCCTGTTCTCTCCTCTCCGCACAGGCCATACAAATGCTTCACATGGCGTGGCTGCTGCCATTCTAATCTGGTGGTCCCTGCGCGCACGACCCACGTGGAGTTCCAGGTCTCCGGTAGCCTCTGGAACTGCCGTTCTGCGGCCAACAAGGCAGAGTTCATCTCAGCCTATGCCAGCCTCCAGTCCCTCGTCTTCTTGTCGCTGACGGAAACATGGATTACTACAGAAAACACTGCTACTCCTACTGCTCTTTCCTCGTCTGATCATGTGTTCTCGCATAACCCGAGAGCATCTGGTCAGCGCGGCGGTGGCACAGGAATCCTCATCTCTCCCAAGTGGACATTCTCTCTTTTCCCCCTGACCCATCTGTTTATCTCCTCATTTGAATTCCATGCTGTCACAGTCACTAGCCCATTCAAGCTTAACATCCTTGTCATTTATCGCCCTCCAGGTTCCCTTGGAGAGTTCATCAATGAGCTTGACGCCTTGATAAGTTCATTTCCTGAGGATGGCTGACCCCTCACAGTTCTGGGTGACTTTAACCTCCCTACGTCTGCCTTTGACTCATTTCTCTCTGCCTCCTTCTTTCCACTCCTTTCCTCTTTTGACCTCACCCTCACCCTCTACTCACAAGGCAGGCAATACGCTTGACCTCATCTTTACTAGATGCTGTTCTTCTACTAATCTCACTGCAACTCCCCTCCAAGTCTCCGACCACTACTTCGTATCCTTTTCTCTCTCGCTCTCCTCCAACACTACTCACTCTGCCCCTACTCAGATGGTAATGTGCCGTCGCAACCTTCGCTCTCTCTCTCCCGCTACTCTCTCCTCTTCCGTCCTATCATCTCTTCCCTCTGCTAAATCCTTCTCCCTCCAATCTCCTGATTCTGCCTCCTCAACCCTCCTCTCCTCCCTCTCTGAATCTTTTGACTCTCTATGTCCCCTATCCTCCCAGCCGGCTCGGTCCTCCCCTCCTGCTCCGTGGCTTGACGATTCATTGCGAGCTCACAGAACAGGGCTCCGGGCAGCCGAGCGGAAATGGAGGAAAACTAGACTCCCTGCGGACCTGTCATCTTTCCACTCCCTCCTCTCTACATTATCTTCCTCCGTTTCTGCTGCTAAAGCCACTTTCTACCACTCTAAATTTCAAGCCTCTGCCTCTAACCCTAGGAAGTTCTTTGCCACCTTCTCCTCCCTGCTGAATCCTCCTCCCCCTCCCCCTCCCTCCTCCCTCTCTGTGGATGACTTTGTCAACCATTTTGAAAAGAAGGTTGACGACATCCGATCCTCATTTATTAAGTCAAATGACACCGCTGGTCCTGCTCTCACTGCCCTACCCTATGCTTTGACTTCTTTCTCTCCTCTCTCTCCAGATGAAATCTTGCGACTTGTGACGGCCGGCCGCCCAACAACCTGCCCGCTTGACCCTATCCCCTCCTCTCTTCTCCAGACCATTTCCGGAGACCTTCTCCCTTACCTCACCTCGCTCATCAACTCATCCTTGTCCGCTGGCTATGTCCCTTCCATCTTCAAGAAAGCGAGAGTTGCACCCCTCCTCAAAAAACCTACACTCGATCCCTCCGATGTCAACAACTACAGACCAGTATCCCTTCTTTCTTTTCTCTCCAAAACTCTTGAGCGTGCCGTCTATAGCCAACTCTCCTGCTATCTCTCTCAGAATGACGTTCTTGAACCAAACCAGTCAGGTTTTAAGACTGGTCATTCAACTGAGACTGCTCTTCTCTGTGTCACGGAGGCTCTCCGCACTGCTAAAGCTAACTCTCTCTCCTCTGCTCTCATCCTTCTAGACCTCTCTGCTGCCTTTGATACTGTGAACCATCAGATCCTCCTCTCCACCCTCTCCGAGTTGGGCATCTCCGGCGCGGCTCACTCTTGGATTGCGTCCTACCTGACAGGTCGCTCCTACCAGGTGGCGTGGCGAGAATCTGTCTCCGCACCACGTGCTCTCACCACTGGTGTCCCCCAGGGTTCAGTTCTAGGCCCTCTCCTATTCTCTCTATACACCAAGTCACTTGGCTCTGTCATATCCTCAGATGGTCTCTCCTATCATTGCTACGCAGACGACACACAATTAATCTTCTCCTTTCCCCCTTCTGATAACCAGGTGGCGAATCGCATCACTGCATGTCTGGCAGACATATCAGTTTGGATGTCGGATCACCACCTCAAGCTGAACCTCGGCAAGACGGAGCTGCTCTTCCTCCCAGGGAAGGACTGCCCACTCCATGATCTCGCCATCACGGTTGACAACTCTGTTGTGTCCTCCTCCCAGAGTGCAAAGAACCTTGGCGTGACCCTGGACAACACCCTGTCGTTCTCCGCTAACATCAAAGCGGTGACCCGATCCTGTAGGTTCATGCTCTACAACATTCGCAGAGTACGAACCTACCTTACACAGGAAGTGGCACAGGTCCTAATCCAGGCTCTTGTCATCTCCCGTCTGGATTACTGCAACTCGCTGTTGGCTGGGCTCCCTGCCTGTGCCATTAAACCCCTACAACTCATCCAGAACGCTGCAGCCCGTCTGGTGTTCAACCTTCCCACGTTCTCTCAAGTCACCCTGCTCCTCCGCACACTCCACTGGCTTCCAGTTGAAGCTCACATCTGCTACAAGACCATGGTGCGTGCCTACGGAGCTGTGAGGGGAACCGCACCTCCTTACCTTCAGGCTTTGATCAGTCCCTACACCCAAACGAGGGCATTGCGTTCTTCCACCTCTGGCCTGCTGTTCCCCCTACCTCTGCGGAAGCACAGTTCCCGCTCAGCCCAGTCAAAACTGTTCGCTGCTCTGGCACCCCAATGGTGGAACAAGCTCCCTCACGACGCCAGGACAGCGGAGTCACTCACCACCTTCCGGAGACACTTGAAACCCTACCTCTTTAAGGAATACCTGGGATAGTATAAAAGTAAACCTTCTACCCACCCCACCCCCCAAAAAAATACATAAATAATAATAATAATTAATATTTAATAAATAATAATAATAATAATATATATATATATATATATAAATATATAAAACAAATTAAAATTTAAAATATACTCTAAAAATTAACAAATTAATGTATTTTTATTTTTATTTATTGTAAAGTGGTTGTCCCACTGGCTATCATAAGGTGAATGCACCAATTTGTAAGTCGCTCTGGATAAGAGCGTCTGCTAAATGACGTAAATGTTTTGTTTTCCCTAGCGCTCGTGAGTGTGTGTGTGTGTGGGAGCACGGAGTCCAACTCCTGCTTTGCCACAAATAGGAGACTGTCCCCAGAGCAACTGGACAAGCAGCCAGATAATATATGAGCACTAGCAAGGGGCTAAACAACCACAGCCGTTCTATCAATGCCTGTGTTAGCAATTCCGCTAATGTTGCAGCGGAGGTATAGGGGTTAAGGGGTTTGTGTAGTGCTGGTTTCAGTCCAGGCCCAAGGCCATAATGGCGACAGAAAACCAACAGTTTCCTCTCGCTCACATAGATGACCACCCTGGAGCAGGTTGGTGAAGAGGTGGTGGGTCAGGCGCGCTGTCCCTTCGAGTCGGGCCAATCCAACCTCGGCCTCTTTGCTGGTGAGTGGCTCAATTTATAAATTTAGAGTTTGAAATGTAAAATGTAAATGTTTTGCCCATAGTCCATTAGCAATAAAATGTAGTCCAAAGCCTGAGTGTTAGGCCTTTTAGGTAGGTCAAGACTGAAGTTTAGTCTTATGGCTAAATTGATTAGTCATAAAAATCTGAGTATTCTTATAGCATACATGTATGTGTTTCATATATGAATTGGTAAATAGATATGACATGGACTTGTCTTTTTATATGAAGCTTAACCATTTGAATTGTTTTATCTTACTATGACTTGCTTTTTTTATACTATACTATCTTACTTATTAATTGCTATATTTACTGTACTTACTTTATATTTCTAGGTGGTGATTTCTACTCTGCCACCATGACCGACTTCCTGGCCAGCGACGCTGTCATCTACCGTAGTCTTGGCGACGACAGCCCCGTCCTGCGGACCGTCAAGTACGACTCCAAGTGGCTCCGAGGTTGGTCACATTACTTTTGTGTCTGTCAGTGTCCTGGTTGGGGATGTGTATCTTTTTCAGCCCAGTACCAAGACACCGATTTAACTCATCAATGCGTCATCAAGTCCTTACATACCCAGCCGTCTTAAGACTTCTCAAGACATTTTATAATTTATTGTTTTCATTTTTTATTTGTTATAAATACTAATCACTCGCTCTACAACTCTCATGCACATCCATAGCACAAATTGTGCTGCACACCAAATCAAAGTAATCAAGATTTATTGACCAAAATAACATTAGGTAAAGGCAGTATAGAGCTCCAAACAACTCCTATCTTCAAGTCTTTGGGGATCTCAGAGCTGCTCTTCCTTAATCTGTAAGAAAATAAAATGTAATTAGGCATCATTAGGTACCCTGCTATTTTCTTGTAGCTTATTTATGAATAGCTCACCTGAAGCAGAAAGCCCTATCGTCCATGAGGGCTTACTGTTTGACACCAGATAGGACCCCAGCTTTGGTCTATGTCCAGTCTGAAAATAGAATGAATCAGTTAAGCACTCTGTCTGTTCTCATGGGAAGAAATGAACATTGCATGTGTCATGGTCCTTTGTGCAATGCAGTGTTCTCACTTGTGTTTGCTGGGTGACAGCTTACCTTGATTTAGTTGAGATGCTGACATGTCTTCCATCCTCATATCCTGACAAAAGAGAAATAGGCCATGTTTATTACACAATAACTATCAAAGCACACGTGAAAACAAAAAAGCAGATGCAAGCATCAGTCATAACTTATCTCCTCAGCATATCCATCCATAAAGGTCAGCACTCAGATAAGTCCAGTCTACTCTGCAGCACGTGAGGTTGGCATGGCAATCTAATAAATGCACCAGCCATTTATCTATCATTTATTTTGGGAATATATTTAATGTAACATTTAGATGTATTCTCTATTTAATAAAACTGCACAGAAAAGACCAGAATTGCAGTCACCTGTTAACAAGAGTAGATCAACTTTATGTGATCGGTGGTGATGGCTGAGCTATCATCAAGGTTGAGACATTTTACATGATCCCGTCCCCTCTTTATGATCCCCCATGGACTCCATGGGCAACTGAAAAAAAGTAACATACATTTACATTTTAGTCATTTAGCAGACGCTCTTATCCAGAGCGACTTACAGGCATTTAGATTTAACTACATAGTCTTTTAAAAACTATACTTGCTAGCTAATTACAGTTGTTAGCTAGCTATCTAACCACAGTGCACAATATCACATTTGGTAGTGCCAAAACAAGATGTCTAACATATTTCTTCATATTGACTAAATATTATTTTGGCTAACATACATTGCATATTAAAATGCTTTGCTTGCTTACCTCAAGTTGAAAAAACAGTTTGTAAATCCTCCAGGTTTGACAGACTACCATTTGTGAGTCTTATATCAACTGTCAGTTGACTGAAGAATGTCCCATGAATTTGAAATGTTCAACATTCCAAAATAAATACTATATAAAGACTAAATATTTTACATTAGTAAAATGTCTTGATACACATAAAATGTCTCGATATGGCATTGAGTGTCTTGAGACACAGGCTGTGTCTCAAGACGTCTTCAAAATGTTTCTTAAGACGTCTTGAGACGTCTCAAGATGTCTCAAGACAAAGGTGATGGCTGGGTATGTAATTAATTGAATCAGGTGTTAGTACTGAGTTTGCGCAAATGCCTGAACAGCAGTGACTCCATCTCTGGTAGATACAGATACACCCCAGAAAATGATGACTCCCCATAATGACTTTCATTCAATCTCATCTCTCACTTCTCCCCTGTTGTGTGTCTCCTTGCCTCTCCAGAGCCCCATTTCCACCATGCGATCGAGTATGGGAATTATGTCTACTTCTTCCTCAGTGAGATTGCAGTGGAGTACACCACCCTGGGCAAGGTAAAAGGGTGTCAGTGATAGAACCACAAATTGATGTATGAATTGTATTCTTCAGCTCTGTCCATTAGAGCAAGACATGAGAATGGATGTACTATGTGGATGTACTATGTTCTCTTATCAGATGTATCATGACTAGTTGAGATGGGTGATCGATTTATTGTAAAAAGATAAAGGCACCATTATGGTTGGACATAGGAGATTAACTATAATGACAGGTCTGCATCCTTATGGACCGGAACCACTGACCTCCTGTGCTGCTTCAAGCCTCTCAAGTCATGTTTGTTGTCTCAGGGGGTCAGGAGAAGAGCGCCAAGGATAATAAAGCACTATTCTACGATATTTGAATATTTTATTTTCTGGTTCGGCTCCAAGGTGGTGTTCTCTCGCGTGGCGCGGGTGTGTAAGAACGACAATGGCGGCTCTCCTCGGGTGCTGGAGCGCTACTGGACCTCCTTCCTGAAGGCGCGGCTTAACTGCTCGGTGCCCGGCGACTCCTTCTTCTACTTCGATGTGCTGCAGTCGCTCACCAACGTGCTGCAGATCAACCAGCGCCCCGCGGTGGTGGGAGTGTTCACTACGCAAGCTAACAGGTTAGCCTATGTTAAATGACTGGGCACTAGTCCATCAAAGCCAATATCCATACATTTCTTATACCCCTTTCATACACAGACAAAATTCCCACTATTCTACCATGTCTGCTTCTTTTTACCTGCTTTTGTGTATATCTGAAAGGGGTGGGGGGTAAAAAACATGGAAAATTAACCCACCTAAAGACAAAGTCATGATTCCTGCATTTTCACAGACCCTGTAACCAAAATACAGGTATCGGGTCTGTGTGAATGGTTCTCTGCTTTTTTCAGGTAAATTCATTAACACTTCCAGTGTTCAACACCTCCCTAATTTGAAATGCAACCAGCCCCCATGTAGGGCTGGGCGATTATGGCCTAAAAATAATTATATATATTTTTTCAAACCTATGGGCGATTCACGATATATATCTTGATTTTAAAAAAAATATATGTGTTCTCTAAATAAGCTTGCACGATTAAAGGTCAATATACCGCATTTCAAACAGTCAGGAATAATCTAATGAATTCAGGGCTTGCAGAATTCAGGGCTTGCAAAATTATACCTAGGCTAAATATATGCCTTCCACAACCATAAGACCCACTAATAATTTAATCATTTTATCAAAATAGTTTCACCTGCTTTTTTTTGTTGCAATAATCACTGATCTGGCTTGAAAATGCCCTTTTTGCTACAAATTTAACCAGAAACATGCAAAATGCACATCCACTAATAATATCCAACTTCTGGTAGCAGGCATTATAGAAAATTAACACAGGTCTCATTAACAATCTCTCAAGCACAAGCCCACTGCTAGTGAGTAGCCAGCTAATCTTTATATTTTAAGTCTAGCCAACTTGGATCTATTTGCTTACTATGAAGATAGAACAATTTAACTGTTATGAATACACCCTCCTGTCCGTCTCCAACTGTTTGTACGACATAGCCTGTTCACTTTGTTTAGATATTGAAATCAAGTGGCCTACCTGGATAAGAATATGTTTATTTCTCAGAATGAGAAAGAGTTGCCAATTCCTTATATAAATGCATATTTTTATGCTCATTGCACATTTATAAAACACAGACTAGAAAGCTAGCACATAACAGTATGTGGCTAAAATACTGCTAGCGGTACGTGGCACGACAGAAAATGAGCATACATTTTCCACAATCATGTTCATTGATACTCTGGTTTTAGTAGGATCTGCTCTGTTTTACATTTTGGGAGTTTAGACATAAAAAGAGTATCATTAGAAAGGTTAAGTTCTCGTCTATTACAGTAAAAATGTAATGTCTGTAAGCGTTTCGGTGTCCATACGACCGATTCTGTTGGACCAAACCTCCAATGCAAATAGCGAGTTTGAACTGCTTGTTGTCAGAGAGGAAGAAGTTATCCTTCGTCTTTTGTTTTGAGTGGCAGGGGGAGGTGTCTGTGTGCGAGTGGGAAGAGCACAGAAGGAGCGAAGGAGGCGAGACCAAAAAGACAGAACGCTCATAAAAACAAAATAAAACCTAGATTCTTGCGGTACAGGCATTTGGAACGTAACATACATTCAAATTAATTCGATGTATAGCCAAGCCCTACTCCATGGTTTAACTACAACCCCCACCTTTCCATATTTACCAGTTACCACTGATATGTATAAAGAGGTATACATGCAAGACAGTGGTAAATAAGGGGCTGTTCGAAAGGGGGTCGTATAAACATTACCTTGTACGGTATATTTTACAGGTAATATACCACATCTTCTGTCTGAAATGGGTATTACACTGCAAGAATATGCAACATCACTAAAACTGGAAAAACATGATATTCACTCACACACTGGACCTCATTCCTCGCAGCACAGGAACATTTTAGTTTTACCTTTGAAACTTGATATTGATTTTGAATTATACACAGAGCTCTACTTACCAGATAAAAATCAGATCACTTTGCACCTTGTTTGACCAGCCAACCATGTTTCAACAAACCTTTTCAATAGCTCAATCCCATTCAGCCTTTTTAACACGCTCTCTGCGTCTGTCTCCCTCGTCAGTATCCCTGGCTCAGCAGTGTGTGCCTTCTACATGGACGACATAGAGAAGGCCTTCAATGGGAAGTTTAAGGAGCAGAAGACCAGTGATTCAGCATGGACCCCAGTACCAGAGGAACAGGTGCCCAAGCCCAGGTATGAGACTGCCCTCTGAAGGGGCACTAGACTGCGTATGACCAGGCATGACAATGACCATATGAGTTGGCTGTACAGCACCAACAGATCTGGGTCCAGCTAGGCTAGCACAGTACACACCCGTGTTTTGTTTGAATAAGAGTTGCCAAATGTACTTTTTAAAATCTCTATTCTCTACTTCAGGCCTGGTTCCTGTGCCGGTGATGGCCCGGCCTCGGCCTACAAGTCATCCATCAACTTCCCCGACGACACGCTGACCTTCATCAAGTCTTACCCTCTGATGGACGAGGCTGTGCCCTCCGTCAACGACCGGCCCTGCTTCACCCGCACCACCAGCAGGTACTGTAGGGCAGTATCATACAATATAACAATTTCTCTTTGTATGGACAAACGGCAACATAGACAAATGTACAATAATGCAATGTAATATAACATTTGATAAAATTAAACATATCAGCAGTATTTTAGTGCAACCATGTACAGTAAATCTAATTAGTCAATGAATGACACTTTACTCAAACCAGACAACTGAAGTTCTCGCTCAGAAACAAAACCCAGAAATTGCCTCAGCCTAGCTACTGCTACTCTATATGACCGGAGACTGTGGCTTCATCCACAAAGCTTGACATCGATGGCCTATGTTCCGCAAGGAATACAAAGGCCTAAGTAAGTGTAGGCTATAAGGTCAATAGGTGAATGACATTCCGCATGTGGCTAATAGGAAAGAGGAGAAGTCAAGATGCTATGCTGCTGATGATACGCTTGTATTCATTCCCTCTATGTCTGTAGAATAGGAAATGAATTATGTATTTTTTGTATTATTATTATTTTACTTGATGAAGTTAAGCAAACATTCAGACCAGCCTTCCTGATTGAACGTTTGTGCTAGGGAAAAGCCCTAAAATGTCCACCCCTTGGGTTCCCCAGGAGTTTGCGAAACGCTGCTATAGGTCCCTGGCCAAGTCAGCAGTCAGATCAAACAACTCAGGAAGGACCTGAAAGAAACAGGAGCTTGACTAGTGGGGAGTTGCAGTAGGCTCCAAAAGCAGCTGGTCGGTGGTAAAACAGGCCAAGAGGGGTCATGGTTCTAGGTTGACTCAGAATGTATAGCTCTGTGGGAACAGTAGGAATAGAATAACAATATTGAGTTAGATGTCAACTGGGCAGCACACACAACTTGTTACACAGAACAAGACATTTGAAATAGCACGTTATTAAGCTATTTGATCAAGCTTATAAACAGGAGTCACTCAATAAAAGGAGTACATGCTGGAACCCAAGCCAATAGCACACAGTTGCTGTTCTTGATGACTTGTTAACGCCTTCCGTGTGTCAATGTGTGTGAAAAGATGACAGGGTGTGTCAATGTGTGTGAATCAATGCATGTTTCTGCACTTCAATGTGCCATCATTATGCAGTTTTACATATTCATAAGCTTGATCAAGTTGTCACAGGTTTACTTTAAATTGGTAATTTAATACTTCAAAACATTTTCTTCATAACAATAATCAGATTAACTTGAACCATCATAACATGGCCTCTGCATTGTACACAATTAAACCCTCACGTTATTATTGTCAAGTTAATAATTTCTACTGATGAAAGTCTTTACAGTATGAGTAGAATTTGATTGGTAACTTTTCTCAGCCCCTCAACCCAATGGTGCAACAATACAGAAAGGGATAGAACTGACAGTAATCAGACACGGAATGCATGTTTTGACTAAGAAACAACAACATATTATTAATGTAGCTAAGGATGCACAACACATGACTTGGCTAGTTAGCAAGCAAGCCTACAAGGAGCAGAAAACCGCTAGCTGATTTTCTAACGTTTTTAATCACATCATTTTACAATTTCTTAACTCCACACCAGTCGGGAAAGAGTGCTTTGTCTTGCCAAAGCATCAATTGCCTTGTTTGGTCCATGAAAGAAAACAGATTGAAAAATATAATTTGCAACATTTCTCATGTAGTGTCTCTCTTGTCGTGATGTGTGTTTTGTCCTACAGTTGAAGTCGGAAGTTTACATACACTTAGGTTGGAGTCATTAAAACTTGTTTTTCAACCACTCCACAAATTTCTTGTTAACAAACTATCGTTTTGGCAAGTCGGTTAGGACATCTACTTTGTGCATGACACAAGTCATTTTTCTAACAATTGTTTACAGACAGATTATTTCACTTATAATTCACTGTATCACAATTCCAGTGGGTCAGACGTTTACATACACTAAGTTGACAGTGCCTTTAAACAGCTTGGAAAATTCCAGAAAATGATGTCATGGCTTTAGAAGCTTCTGATAGGCTAATTGGCAATTTGAGTCAATTGGAGGTGTACCTGTGGATGTATTTCAAGGCCTACCTTCAAACTCAATGCCTTTTTGCTTGACATCATGGGAAAATCAAAAGAAATAAGCCAAGACCTCAGAAAAATATTTGTAGACCTCCACAAGTCTGGTTCATCCTTGAGAGAGATTTTTTCAAACGACTGAAGGTACCACGTTCATCTGTACAAACAATAGTATGCAAGTATAAACACCGTGGGACCACGCAGCCGTCATACCGCTCAGGAAGGAGACGCGTTCTGTCTCCTAGAGATGAACGTACTTTGGTGCGAAAAGTGCAAATCAATCCCAGAACAACAGCAAAGGACCTTGTGAAGATGCTGGAGGAAACAGGTACAAAAGTATCTACAGTAAAACAAGTCCTACAGTGGGGAAAAAAAGTATTTAGTCAGCCACCAATTGTGCAAGTTCTCCCACTTAAAAATATGAGAGAGGCCTGTAATTTTCATCATAGGTACACGTCAACTATGACAGACAAAATGATCATTTTTTTCTCCAGAAAATCACATTGTAGGATTTTTAATGAATTTATTTGCAAATGATGGTGGAAAATAAGTATTTGGTCAATAACAAAAGTTTCTCAATACTTTGTTATATACCCTTTGTTGGCAATGACACAGGTAAAACGTTTTCTGTAAGTCTTCACAAGGTTTTCACACACTGTTGCTGGTATTTTGGCCCATTCCTCCATGCAGATCTCCTCTAGAGCAGTGATGTTTTGGGGCTGTCGCTGGGCAACACAGACTTTCAACTCCCTCCAAATATTTTCTATGGGGTTGAGATCTGGAGACTGGCTAGGCCACTCCAGGACCTTGAAATGCTTCTTACGAAGCCACTCCTTCGTTGCCCGGGCGGTGTGTTTGGGATCATTGTCATGCTGAAAGACCCAGCCACGTTTCATCTTCAATGCCCTTGCTGATGGAAGGAGGTTTTCACTCAAAATCTCACGATACATGGCCCCATTCATTCTTTCCTTTACACGGATCAGTCGTCCTGGTCCCTTTGCAGAAAAACAGCCCCAAAGCATGATGTTTCCACCCCATGCTTCACAGTAGGTATGGTGTTCTTTGGATGCAACTCAGCATTCTTTGTCCTCCAAACACGACAAGTTGAGTTTTTACCAAAAAGTTCTATTTTGGTTTCATCTGACCATATGACATTCTCCCAATCCTCTTCTGGATCATCCAAAGCACTCTAGCAAACTTCAGACAGGCCTGGACATGTACTGGCTTAAGCAGGGGGACACGTCTGGCACTGCAGGATTTGAGTCCCTGGCGGCGTAGTGTGTTACTGATGGTAGGCTTTGTTACTTTTGTCCCAGCTCTCTGCAGGTCATTCACTAGGTCCCCCTGTGTGGTTCTGGGATTTTTGCTCACCGTTCTTGTGATCATTTTGACCCCACGGGGTGAGATCTTGCGTGGAGCCCCAGATCGAGGGAGATTATCAGTGGTCTTGTATGTCTTCCATTTCCTAATAATTGCTCCCACAGTTGATTTCTTCAAACCAAGCTGCTTACCTATTGCAGATTCAGTCTTCCCAGCCTGGTGCAGGTCTACAATTTTGTTTCTGGTGTCCTTTGACAGCTCTTTGGTCTTGGCCATAGTGGAGTTTGGAGTGTGACTGTTTGAGGTTGTGGACAGGTATCTTTTATACTGATAACAAGTTCAAACAGGTGCCATTAATACAGGTAACGAGTGGAGGACAGAGGAGCCTCTTAAAGAAGAAGTTACAGGTCTGTGAGAGCCAGAAATCTTGCTTGTTTGTAGGTGACCAAATACTTGTTTTCCACCATAATTTGCAAATAAATTCATTAAAAATCCTACAATGTGATTTTCTGGAAAAAAAAATCTCAATTTGTCTGTCATAGTTGACGTGTACCTATGATGAAAATTACAGGCCTCTCATCTTTTTAAGTGGGAGAACATGCACAATTGGTGGCTGACTAAATACTTTTTTTCCCCACTGTATATCTACATAACCTGAAAGGCCGCTCAGCAAGGAAGAAGCCACTGCTCCAAAACCGCCATAAAAAAGCCAGATTACAGTTTGCAACTGCACATGGGGACAAAGATCTTACTTTTTTGAGAAATGTCCTCTGGTCTGATGAAACAAAATATAACTGTTTGGCCATAATGACCATTGTTATGTTTGGAGGAAAAAGGGTGTGGCCTGCAAGCCGAAGAACACCATCCCAACCGTGAAGCACAGGGGTGGCAGCATCATGCTGTGGGGGTGCTTTGCTGTAGGAGGGACTGGTGCACTTCACAAAATAGATAGCATCATGAAGAAGGAAAATTATGTGGATATATTGAAGCAACATCTCAAGACATCAGTCAGGAAGTTAAAGCTTGGTCGCAAATGGGTCTTCCAAATGGACAATGACCCCAAGTATACTTCCAAAGTTGTGGCAAAATGGCTTAAGAACAACAAAGTCAAGGTATTGGAGTGGCCATCACAAAGCCCTGACCTCAATCCTATAGCATATTTGTGGGCAGATCTGAAAAGGCGTGTGCGAGCAAGGAGGCCCACAAAACTGACTCAGTTACACCAGGTCTGTCAGGAGGAATGGGCCAAAATTCACTCAACTTATTGTGGGAAGCTTGTGGAAGGCTACCCGAAAAGTTTGACCCAAGTTAAACAATTTAAAGGCAATGCTACCAAATACTAATTGAGTGTATGTAAACTTCTGACCCACTGGGAATGTGATGAAAGAAATAAAAGCTGAAATAAATAATTCTCTCTACTATTATTCTAACATTTCACATTCTTAAACTAAAGTGGTGATCCTAACTGACCTAAGACAGGGGCTTTTTACTAGGATTAAATGTAAGGAATTATGAAAACTGAGTTTAAATGTATTTGGCTAAGGTGTATGTAAACTTCCGACTTCAACTGTATATTTTTATTTTTAATCCCAGCCCCCTGTCCCCGCAGGAGGCCTTTTGCCTTTTGGTAGGCTGCCATTGTAAATAAGAATTTGTTCTTAACTGACTTGCCTAGTTAAGTAAAGGTTAAATCAATAAATAAAATACTGGCGGTGTAGAGGTGATATGAGGCGTTTGAGTCAGCCTGCTGTACCCCCTGGGTGACCCGCCTGCTGCTTCTCACCGCAGGAAGCTGATGTGATACTCTGGTAAATGACAACAGAAGCCAGGGGGGCACGGGGAACATGTTATTTCACACTGCTCCCAAATCTAGAGATGAAACATCCTAGTGAAATGTCCCGAAGTCCTAGTGAAGTCATGGATATATTGGAGATAAAATGGGTTTAAATCATAGGATATTCTCATCGAGTGTGTTGCATTCATGAACCCGAGGAAATGACGTATTTTATAGCATAGTTGATATTAATCAACTGAAAATGACATACAGTGGCAATGCTTCAGTCTTTAGCAGCCAGTTGAGATGACTGGCGTTAGATATGTACGTGCAAACACACAAAGATAAGAACCTGCACATTCTGGAGACAATTCAGTTCATTTACAAAACCTTCCTTGACATCTGTTATGCTGCTAGGCAACCAACAGAAGCCATTCGGGAAAGTGCCAAATCCCACCCAGAAAGTAGCCTAAAGCAGAAGTGAATTTTCAACGCAGCTGCACTCTAGCGCTTCTGTCTTCCCCATTTGAGTGTACTCTCCACTCCATCTTTTGGTGCACAGGAAATTACATAATCACATGGGTTAAAATCAGGAAAGCACAAAGGCTGAACAAAAAGAGGTTAAAATCATTTTTTTTAAAGGGGTGAAAAAGTATTCATTTATAACCCTATGTTGACCCGTGTCTCCATGCCAGTCATGGCGGTTCACTTGTTCTGAATGACTGACATATTATGGCTGACTAGTTACCAGTTCCGGCCATACAATCAGCGTTAACTGTGTTTTTCCCTTCTCCAGGTACAAGCTGACTCAGATTGCGGTAGATACCTCTGCAGGGCCGTCTAAGGACCGCACTGTGGTCTTTCTGGGCTCGGAGGATGGCAGGGTCCTGAAGGTGTTGTCCAGCACTCATCCTAACGCCTCCTTTGGCTCCCAACTCTTGGAGGACATAGATGTCTATAACCCCTCTAAGTCAGTACAGAACCTCTATAAGTCAGTCTATAACCCCTCTTAAGTGAGTGTGTAACCACTTTTGAACAGGTCATAACTACAGTAACTACACAGGTGTAGTAAAAGCAAAAGTCGGCAATGGCATGAAAACCTGACTGTTATATAAGCACCAGTGTGACAGTACTGTAATTTCAGCCTGGAACGTCTCCAAATGAATGAGTCTATACCTGATTTAAAGGAATACGGTATACATATAGACCACATCTTCATGATGATGATGCAAAAAGCGTAATAGGATGCAAAACGATGTGGCAAGTGACAATTTGCTTTCTGAAAGTTATATTTCTTGAAAACTTGATTTCTGACATGCAAAACATTTTGGGACTATATGAACTAATGAAACAACTACCTAAAATAGTTTTTGAGTAGAGTATTCCTTTAAAGCTGTAACCCACATTATTATGGTATTACCCTCACCAAACGATCAAAACCTGAACTAAGGTAGTTCACAGGCAGAGTAATTTTATTTTCCACACTATATTAGGTGTTCAAATGGTATAGAAACGTACTAAATGAACATGTATTACAGAGATAGCCTAGCCTTTAGCCTCTGGGGCTCCCATTTCTATCTATGACTGATGAACTGTGTTTCACGTGGCTGTGGTCTAACTCTAATCCATTAGTATGGTTGTGCTGTAAGGGTTCTCACGTGTCCTGTGACCATGTTTTGCCACAGGTGTAACGTTCAGGGGCAGGAGAACCGGAGGATTCTGGGAATGGAGCTGGATAAGGACCATCACGCCTTGTTCGTGGCCTTCACCAGCTGTGTCATCAGAGTGCCGCTCAGCCACTGCACCGAGCATGGGGCCTGTAAAAAGTGAGTTACAACAAGGCAGAAATGATTGTGTAAGAATGCACATAGGAGGATATGCAGTATTGTTAGGGCCCTGAGTTTTCCCTGACTACGTGACCTGGCCTGGAAAAACTGGGGCCCGAAATTTAGTACAGCTTTTGCACTGCTCAAAATCGTTTGCTCTAATGTGTTATAACAAATACTTAGTCTCTGGATACCAAGCTCTATCAATGTCAATTTGTGGTCCAAGTGATTTCAGTATCAACAAATATTTATATTTGTTCTAGTCATTTGGCAGATAATGGAGCAAGAGAGTACAGGGAGGCATGAGGAAATTACCAAATTCTCCAAATGTATTTGGCGCAGCTTTTAAGAGAGCCTGTTTGCATATTTTGGCAAACAACCAAAACATTAAAAAGGGAGGCTTAATTGCCCATATAATCAATATTTGAACAGCCTGTAAATGTTGGGGAAAATGTTCAGGATGTCATTAGCACAGAATACCACATCAAGAATATAATTATAGTTGACGGATCCTCCCATTGGGATAATTCAACATTCAAACACCAACAAAAAAAACGAACTTCCTCTTTCATAGTCTGACACACACACACTCGCACGTGCATGCACACAAACACAGTCTGAGTCAGCCCACAATACCTTTTGAGCGGCCGTGTGCATAATCTCCTACTGGTGGGACGTGAGGAAGACAGGGGTTCATGGAGCACTGAGTGACAAGTGAGAGATCCAAAGGAGACAACCCTCTCTCCTCCTCCCATAGGCAAGTGTATGACAGTCCCCCCCTCCCCTCTCCCCCCTCGGAGCTCCCCCTCAGTCCCCGTGGCCCTGGCTGTCAGTGTGTCACCATGGCTGGGGGAGAGAGACTGAGGACACCTGTCACTAAGATGACTGGCTTCACTCCTCCAGGCAGCCTGTAATGACACACACACACATATATATAAATATTTAGAAACACACCTGTCCTCTATGAGGTCTGTCACAGGCATACTTGTCATCTTGGAGAATGAGCTAAAACACACACTGACACTGTCAGACACAATCACCTCTCCGAGTTCACATGCAGGCCAGCCAGTCTCGCTCTGCAGATCACCAGCTGGGGAATAGCCCCAACAGAACACGCTCCACTAGACCGCAGCAGTATCCTTGGCTCAAGTGTGTGTGTGGCGTGTCACTGTGTCAAAGTAGACCCAGTCGGGCGCTCATCGCCCGCACGCCAAGGAGCGATATCATACAGGGATTTAACCGCCTCTTGCCTCGTCATTTTCTAGGAGTTGTCTGTCCTCCCGCGACCCATACTGCATCTGGCTCCGGACCGGGAGCTGTGCCAACATGGCGCCAGGGTTCAAGTAAGTGTCACTTTCCTTCTTGTCGCGCTGAAAGCCATCAATCTGAAAGGTAATAAAGGTTTGAGAGTGTGATCGTATATCTATCATCGGGATTGGCCCCCATAAAAGGAGAGGAGAGTAGAGAGTGGAAGATATGAGGGAAATAAATCTCAAACGCTTTGGAAGTCATATTAAAGAAGAATGTATTGAGTGAGTGATATCATTGTTCTGCAGATGAGGACTGCTCGTCAAAGATTAGTTTTCTTGTGCTAGTCAGATTCTTTATACCAGCAAATTATATACACTGGGACTCTGTTTGTACAGTGTATGCTAATATGCATTCATTTGTTTCATTATATCTGCTGGCTTTGGGCCTGTTTCCACTTGTGCAATGCACTTTAAGTGAACGGAATGATCAACCACTTGAGCCACAATGGCTTGAGTCCATTGATTTATTGATGAGTTGACAGGTACTGCAATCTCTCAGGCATAAAACGTGTTTTCTCCCCGGACCTCCTGAAAATGAAAATAGTCTCTTCAATTCTCTGGAACATAGGAAAAAGCAAAGGTCTTAGATTTGTGGGACCAAAGAGAATAGTAGAAAGCAGTCTGCCTGTTTTGACTGCTGAAGAATTGAATTTCGACATGGCACTTCCAGGGTTGGCAGTTTAGTGCAATTTGTCATGCTGTGTCCGCAGTAAAGGCCTAGATTGAATCTTTTAAAAGCTGAAAAGAATCATTTTGCTGTTTAAATGTCATAGTGCATCAACATGAATTCAATACCACACACTGTAATGTAGTAATGGGATTTGGATTTCCATGACATTCCTCATTCCAGCAGTATGGGAATTGGTGGTTTAAGATGGGGTTTCATGAACTTTGAGACTATTGCAAGTTCTATGAAGTTCCACATCCAAAAGTATCAATCGCAGTGAAATATCTCTGTTTTGGTTAGAGAGTTAGAGTTCAGTGGACGAGGAACGTTTTCAGGGCTCAGAGAAGGTTTTGGAAACACTTCATCCAGGACACTGTGGTTCAGCCACTTCCCTAAGATGAGCAGCAGATGGGACTTGTTGTCGTGGCAGCGAGTCAGTGGTTTCCCTGGAGACTAACTGGCCGTCTTGGCAAAAACGCTCCAAAGAGCTCCCAAGTGAGGTGACCGGCGAAAAACAAAATGGAGCTGAAGTGCTTTGCCAGTCCCGAAGCAACTCTGCAGCCTGGCCCGCCACGGTTTAAAATATGTTGTTTGTAGGCCTAAACTCAAACTTCTATTTAGGCCTACTCCTAAACTGAATCCTCCGTATTTGGTTGTGAGTGGGTGTCACTACCTGTGACTGTTTATATGTTTTTTAATTGGCAAGCATTTGTATAAATATCTACTTAAAGTATCTACTTATATCTACTTATATCACTATGTCTGTATGCATCTCGAGTAGGTCGTTGTTAGCATGTATGCGTTGTCAGAGTCCCTTTCTGAGAATTTGCATCTATTCATATGTATGTCTCTTAGTCCTTTCCCCTCATTCATTACAAGTAAATAGAAAAGCTTTAAAGTGTCTGAGTGAGGGAAATGAATAGCACTTTCTCGCTCACACATTCCACACTTTTGAAAATGGATACATAGAGCGTGAGTGAACGAGAGCGGGAGAGGAGAGAAAAAGCGAAAAAGAAACAAATGAACACAAAGCAAGGACTCTGCAGCTCAGAGATGGAAAGGGCTGGAGGGTGAATGAGAATGAGCGCCCGTTGGTGTCAGAAGTAAGATCCAACCTAATCCTATTCATTCCCCTTCGCATAATGGACACTTGTGTGCTGCCTTCAAACCACACATTCCATTAGCTTCCAGTCACTCTAAATGTATCTGGTTGTGTGTGGACCTTTCTCTCATTCACGAGCATGCTGCATCTAAATCTATTGATGGCTGTCAGTGCAAGCAGCATGCACTGATTGAAAAGTCCTAATGAGAATGAACACAAACCCTTCTTCTCCTCCATGTGTAGGAGGGGAGAGTGGCCCCAAATACAGCCCTTAATAGTTAAACCTGCACTTGTGTGTTTCACATCCCTCAAAAGTGTGCTGGAATATGCACAGGCAAAACACTGGGTCTGGCTACATATTTTGTTTGAATAGGGTCTGGATTATGACCTTGGCTTTAGTCATAGCTGCCTTTTTCTCCTGACTGATGCAGGCTGTTCTTGCCAAATGAGGCCCGGCGATGTCTGCTCCCCCTGTCACCTGATAGAAAGAGTGATCGTCATCTGACCTTTATCAGTCGTGGCGCTGGTTTCTAATTGGACAGCGTACAAGGGGAGAACAGCAAAATGGATGTTCTCGCCGTTCGTGCCATTTTCCTGATTCGCCCACCTTGTCTGTGGATGGTGACGTCATAGGCATATGCAGGATGTCTCTCTGTCACATGAATGTACGGGCTATGGAAATTCTTCTCTCCTCGACAACTGGCAGGTCGGGCAAGTTCTCTGTGTCAGGATGGCGCTAAATGGGCTTCCAGCCTGGGGTGAATGACACGGGTCCCAATTACAATTGGATAGGTGGAAGCCTGTGGCAGCAAAGAGGAAAACAGTTGACAAGACTCCTTTTTTACTCTCTCTTTCTTTCTTTCTTTCTCTCTTTCTCCAGGGCTGGCTTTGACCAGGACATCGAGGGGGACCACTCACTGTACCCTGAAAACTGCAATGGTGAGCTTTCATCAACATCCCCATGGCAACAGGCCAATCACCTAAACATTAGCCCTGTAAAAAGAGGGTCTATTCCTTCATGGATGTACATGGAAAAATGGGTTTCACAGGCTACCATGGTGTTATAACAAATACCTCCTCCCCCTTTTGTTTGATCTGTTATGGATTTAATTGAAGATGTAGCGATTTCATTTGCTACCTGTCAATCTGCCAGCTAACATTGAAGTGGTACAGTATGTTCTTAGATACACACGAAAGTTCTATCAACAAGGTTACATACTGCATACACATTTACATGCTACACTGCATGTTTATATAAGGCAGACTACAGTACAAGAATATGAAGACAAAAGTATAGTAGGGGAGAAAACGTCACATCTAAAAAGTATTTTATGACACTTGAATCCACAACTGGGTCACAATTTGGAAATATCCAGAGCAGTCCAACCTACTTGTATTTCATGTCACGCCCCCAGAAAAACCCATTTGTTTTCTTATGTCTTTGTGAGCGGTATGTAATTCACTCCGTCTTTTTTCTCTCGATATTAATGCTTTGTTTTGCTCCTATCAGCAGATGTGCTGGCGACCACGCGAAACCAGAACTCCGCGGCAGACTCGGCCTACGGTCAGTTTCCATTTCTCTCCCAGTCTCACTCCCTTCTTTCTCCCTGTGTTGCTTTCCACCTTGTTTTATTGCAGTATGACTGAGCATAAACACTTTGAATTAAGTTACATGCAATGAGTTTGCAATAACTATTGGCAATTGGTAGTTTCACATCATGACGATGTGAACGGTGCCACTTCTTGAATGTCTAATATCTTGAAAACTTGACTGCTGACATGCAAAACATTTTGGGACTGTAACAACAGTGGACTAATGAAAAAAATACAAAAATATAGTTTAAGTGTATTTTCCCTTCAAGGTTTCTCACTAGACAACTTGAAAATGAAAGAATACTCCAATATTTTCCATGTCTGGTAAACCTTTTGACTTAGAGACCATACCATTATAGGTTTTCTTTTACTTGAAATTCAAAGTATTGTTTGATTTGAACAGGTTCAGTTCGCTCCCTAACAGGGTTACAAACAGTGCTCTAGTTCCACATGTTGTAGAGAAGATTAAACATGCGTTGCTGCTTGTGGAAATGGAGGCTCATGTGTAAGATCAGATATGCTTTTTAAACCAAGAGGATCTCCTTGGGTAACCGATAGATGTACTTTCAATCATGCAATTCATGACTGGGCATGCCCAAGTCAATAAACCCCTCAGGTAGGCCTAATATTACTCGAGCGTCGTAATTGTAATTCACAGAGCGAGCCTCACACCAGAGAAGACCCTCATTATGTAATATAAGCCCAGCGTTCGCCGTTCACTGTGATTAACCCATGGAGTAAATTACACTATTAGAGGCTAATGGAGACTCCAACCTCGGCTGCCAAAAGGCACATTGGGCTTTAACCTCCTGGCCCTGGTGTAGCTCAGCCAAGCGTGAATGTCTATGTCAGAGAAGTGATTTCTCGATTGGGGGAAGAGTCCAATTCTGACTGGAGACTTCTGTTTTAATAATGCTATTTTGAGTGAACCTTTCGACTGGCCCCCAGGTGCAATCTGTGTAGAGAATCATGGCGGTATCGCCTCAGCAGCCTTATTAGCAATCAATCCCATCATGCAGCAGCACACAGGGTTCAAGGTGGCCCTCCGTGAGCACAGGGAACACAGCAGAGGTGGTTTTCAATCACTAAAACCCCCCAGAAACACTGGCATTGCGAAAGACCTTGAAACGGTCTTGATGACTACGCAGAAACGTCCCAACTCCAATGACGGACTAGGCGTAGGGAGTTTAGCCAGATAATGGTCATAGTGACTGTTTGTCATTTCTGAATGCCTTTGAAACAAACATTGAAACAAATCAATTTAATGAATGCTTTACTGATCCTGGTCAAAGCCAGGGGATGTAAATATCAAGAGAACTTTCCATTGCACTTGGAATGGATTCACAGTGTATAATAGTATTTAATAGATTATGAATTTTAATCTAGAATAGTTAGTATGTTATCTTCATCGTAGATTTAAATACATACAATAATTATTGATATATCCATAAGCCAGTTATGAGGATGAGCTTTGTCCATAAATCCTGCCCAAATCTGACATATTAACTTTAGTTCTAAAATGGATACTTTATACATAATTTAGAGATATACACATTTTTAGTCATTTAGCAGACGCTCTTATCCAGAGCGACTTACAGTTAGTGAATACATAATTTTGTATACTGGCCCCCCGTGGGAATCGAACCCACAACCCTGGCGTTGCAAACACCATGCTCTATCAACTGAGCTACATCCCTGCCGGCCATTCCCTGCCCTACCCTGGACGACGCTGTGCCAATTGTGCGCCGCCCATGAGTCTCCCGGTCGCGGCCGGCTGCGACAGAGCCTGGATTCGAACCAGGATCTCTAGTGGCACAGTTAGCACTGCGATGCAGTGCCTTAGACCACTGCGCCACTCAGGAGACAATATACATCAATAGGACATAGGGAATGCAGAGTTGGTTATCGAACTGCAGCTCATATTGTAAATTACAGTGGCCTTGTGCCCAACTATGATTACTCCACAAAGCCTAAGTGGTCCACAGTGATCTAAGAGATTGGTCCTGCGGCTGTAGAACATTGGACAGACCTATGTTGTGCCAGCTGGCTCGAACAATCCGCTCCAAAAATTGGTCTTGGTTTGTTCCGAAAGCGCTACAAGGTTTTTAAAAGGAACAAGAGCCCGTATAAGGCCTTCGAAAAGGTCTTGCAGTCGAACACTGTGCAAATTAACATAATTACCTGCAATTTATGACTTATTTGGCAGTAACTAATGCCATAGACCTTCCCTTTTAATGCAAGGAAGATAACACAGCGACACTCCATTTGTAAGTGCCTCAACTCATTTAAAAACACTTTAGGAACTCTGCATTGGGTCGTCAGCTCGGGTGGTGGTATGCAATTATGGGGCCGAGACGTAGCAGAAATCACATCAGATGGTCTCATTTGCATGTGTTATGTGGACGTCCGCGTGGTATGCCGACCTCCTAATTACTTTTAGGCAACTTAATGTATTTCCTATGGCCGACCGCGGTTTATCACCTTGTAACAGTATACACCACGAGGAGCCGCGGCTTGGCCGTATCGTTAACACATGCACACAATACGCTCGTCTTCACCTAGTGGAAATCCATGGCATAAAGAGAAACATAGGCTTTTCAATACGCCGTAAAACCTATGTGTAAATAAATGAAGAGGCTGGGGAAATGATTGAATCGTTAGTTGGTATTGACGGTCAGATTGAGTCAGCCAAAGGGAAGATTGGTCTTTTGAGACCGGGCTGAATATAATGTTGCACCACTGAGAACAACACAAACCTCTATTAACCCCTGAGAGTGAGCGAGTCACTATAGCTGCTTATCTTGCTCACGTTTTCATGTATTCCGCTTCTCTTGGGGGTGCCTTGTGGCTTTACTTGTTGACGCAGTGATTTCACAGGCACATTCATGCAGGTAACATCAATCCTGAAGGGAAGCGCTGTCATGTTAGGCTTGGCAGCCTCCATTACAGCTGTGATGAGGGTGCTCCGCCTGAAACGAGCAAAACAAGATAATGTATTTCCTGCCCTTCGCGCGACGTGTGCATATGGGAAAGCTAATGAATCCAGTGGCATCTATCCTAGAGATAGGCGAGGCGTTGTACAGACCCAACAGCAATGTGTCAAACTTCAACTGTACATTCCATGGTCGGAAGCAGAGATAGTTTGAAACTCACAAATTGAAATTTGCCGGACTGGGGGTGAATTCACTTTAATGATGGGGTGGTGAAGCTTTTAACTGAAATATTTTCCTTTCTTTGGCTGGGCTTTAGAGGTAATAGGTGAAAAGCTGTGCCTGACCTCAGGAATATAGATATGGTAATACATAAATAAAAATGGCAATGAATGACCTTTCACTAAAGCTTTAGTTACTGTATTTTCTAATTTCAGGATTCTGAGTAAAAGGCTTTACAGATCAGTGTTTATAGAAGATGTATTAATTGTTAGACCTCTCGCACAGTGACCAACCAGAATTTGAGCGAAGCCATTTTTACCAAATATACTAAGAGTTTCCCCAATACTCTTATTAAAACTTTCCTTGAAAAACTGAGTGTGAAGATAAATGTGTGACTATAAACCCAAGCAGAAATACATTACCCAGCAACCTGAAGTGGAGCTCTGCTGAACCTAAAGACCTGCTGAAAATACCAGATGCTCCCCACTGAATTGGATATGTGAAAATGCACTATTTTATAGTTACATAACTAGGAAACGTATTATATTATGCAAACTGTTTGACTGCTCCGATTATGTTCCCTGGCGGGCTCTAGTGATAATGCCTTTCCCCTCAACCACTAATCCCAAAATGCCTTAAATGTGTTAAGGCAACGTGCATATACACACTTAAAATAACACTCAGAATAATACTATCTGGATTTCCGTTAAGAGAGCATTCACCGGGCACTCCAATTCCACCACTGAGTGCTAAATGTTATATTCATCTGCCTGAATTATCTCTATCTGTGCTACTGTTAAATTACCGTTTATGACCAAGAACAAAATGCACACAGTGAACTTTTTGACTGGGATGTAAACAACAATGTATACAAAATAGGCTACAACAATGTGTATACGCAGGTAACTGCCAAAATAAAGGAAACACCAACCAAGTGACTTAATATGATGCTGGGCCACCATGAGCCAGAACAGCTTCAATGCACCTTGGCATTGATTCTACAAGTGTCTGGAACTCTATTGGAGGGATGTGACACCATTCTTCCACAAGAAATTCCATCATTTGGTGTTTTGCTGTCTCAGGCGCCGCTACAGAATATTTTATAAGTGTTCAATTGAGTTGAGATCTGGTGACTGAGACGGCCATGGCATATGGTTTACATTGTTTTCATGCTCATCAAACCATTCAGTGACCACTTGTGCCCTGTGGATGGGTGCATTGTCATCCTATGTGGGCATTGCCATGGCAGACATAATAATGGACTGCCCAGCATTTTTATACATGACCCTAAGCATGATGGGATGTTAATTGCTTAATTAACTCCGGAACCACACCTGTGTAGAAGCACCTGCTTTCAATATACCTTTTATAACTCATTTACTCACGTGATTCCATTATTTTGGCAGTTACCTATATCTTGCTAGAGGGCGTTTGTTCACAATAACCCATCAAGGCAGTTCCATAATCCTTCAAAAGGCACATCCTGCCAAATCCTGAGGCCTGATCCTAGCCTCCATTGGCACTAAGCAGAGAAATCTGGATACCTCACACTCCCAGCAGATATGCGTATGTCCTGTTCATTGAAACCAAATGCAGTGGCATGATCACACCCTTTATTAGCACTAGCTATAATGCTTACTTACACTTCGCCATATCGTGTCAAAATGCAGCCAAGGTGAATGCTTCATAAAAATCTCATCTGTCTTTACATACAGTAGCATTGCTGTCCTGCCAACAGAAGTAACACTGCAGTGAAGTATCAAACAGTCCATTTTGATTGGTTGAAATATTAACCAGTCTGTTCATCACATTACCATAACTGTTATGGAAAGTGATGAAAGGCTCACGCCAACACAGCTTCATTCCTGAATATTCCTTTCTCTGTTCTTGCCCCTGAATCAGTGTCATAAAATGGCTTCATGTCTTTGATTTTGTGATAGCTTGGTTTCTAATAGAAGTCATGTGACAAGCAGTATATTGCTTTTTCTTTGTTGTCATGGTATCTGGAGCATATCCAAGCCAATCATTTTTTCGTGTCATAACTGTTTACTGGAGTTGGTAGGTACCTCACACATCCAACACTGTTTTGACAACAACTCGCTTAGCAGATCCCTACGTTTGAACCCTTGAATGCTACTCTAAAGTTAGTTGGCAGGCCGTGCCAGCATATCGCTCAGTGCACGGGATCTCAAACCGGTGCTGAAATCCGAGGCTTATCATGCATTTGGTTCCCATTAGAGGCGAGGAATCCTCTGAGAACATCACTCTTTCTAGAAATATGTGACCTAGATAAGCGTCTTTATGAGAACCACAAGGGAAGGCCTTTGCTCGACAGGGCTTTCGAGAGAAAGACATTAGTTTCGGTTGAGTCGATTACCATATCTGTCTCTCTCTCGCCCCATCCTAATTTTAACTGTTGGAGAAAAAATAGACAATGATGAGTTGACAGTAAGTGTGTTGGTGCTCACCAGGGGGAGATGCTATTAGTGGTGGGTGGATGTGTGTGTTCTGTTTCGGTATTTATTTGCATAAAGAACGTCATTTTTATGTATGCTTCTACCTCCAACTTTCAGTTAAAGAAATCTGTTGATATGATGCAAGTACACGGGTCAAGTACTGTTTTATACTTCACACTTCAACAATTACTCCAAGACATCAAAATTCCATGAAACTATATACATGGTACTTTAATGAAAAGTGTGACTGACCACAACTTTTTTCAGGAAGCAACAAGCCACGCTTTCTTTAGTTACCTCAGTCCAGCATGTTCATCCACTCCTCCTAATCCCGCTGTTAGACCTTCATTACATTTTAATGGAGCTCCCCAGAGGACACAGTCACCATTATCTCTGCTGGGCTAAACCCAACCCCAGCTGCTGCTCTGCTGGATAGTCCATGGCACCGTTCTCATTTAGCCTTCCCATAACCGAGCCGCAATCCGTGGCTGCAGCGTGCCTGTTCGAGCCCCGATAAGCTTCTGGATATCGGAGTGTTGATCTTGGCCAGTGCGAGAAGCCAGGTGCACCTGCAGTGAAGTATGAACTCAAATCAACTCTGCAGAGGGAGAGAAAAACATGGCTTTCCTCCCATGGTCCTCTAAGCTGTGTGTGCTCTGTGTTTAGAGTCTGGGTTGATTTGGGTTTGTTATGATGAACGAGTAGACTGTCTGGAGGCTTCTCTGTTGTGGCCTCCTGAGACAGTGGCAGCAGAGTGCTTGGCAGGATAGCTCTCTGTGTTTGACAGAGGGAAGAAAGAAAGACTGGATTCAATCCGTACTGCAGAAGTATAGCGTAAGATGCTCGTTATAGCTCGATTGAACTTTAAAGGCAATGTTCCCGTGTTCATAGAGACTGTATTCACGGTAACGCTATGTCGTCGCAATCAGAAATGACCTTTACATTTTTAACGCAGATCTTCCGCGATACGGATTGAATCCAGCCCTTGATTTAGGATGAGTCATGCTGTTACAGCAACAACAGGGGGCGGTGAAAGCCTTTTGATGTCATGACAAGATCTAACAAGGAAGGTTTTATTTAAATTAATGACGTCATTTTCTTTCTTTTATTCTTTCTTTTTCTCCTTTAGGTGTCCGAAGGCTCCCTGACATGGAGAAGTCCAGCCCCAGCGTCCACTATACCCTCCTGATCGCCTGCGTCCTGGTGGCCTTCTTCCTCGGCGCCATCCTCTCCGGCTTCCTGGTGTCATGCTACTGCAGTCACAACGCCCGACCACGCCCGCCGGCTTGGCAAGGACCCTGAGGCGTCCATCCACCCCGCCCTCTCGTTGCGCAGCCTGGCCAAGCTAAACGGCCTGCTGGACAGCCAGCCCAAAGAGGAGAAGCTGGACGTGTCCACACCCAAGATGTACAGCTCCTTCATTCCCAGTGGGAAGGAGCACACTCCGGGCAGGCACGGGTTGTCCCTGGGAGACCCGGACCTTAACCTCTCCCAAGGGGAGAATCTCTCGGGCCTGCCCACCCCGGACTCCACCCCGGAGCTGCCCATCAAGAACATGAAGGCCTTCCGGAACCAGTGGGAGAGGAACCAAAACTGCAACAACGCCAAGGAGTCCAAGGCACCCCCCGGCACTGGCTTCAGCCTGGGTTCGTCAAGGTCCGTCACCCAGCAGGTGTTCCCCTTCTCTCACAGCCTGACCAACGGCCAAGCCCTGGGGCACCTGCCCGAGGAGAGGAAGATCCCCAACGACGAGCGTGCGCAGGGGGCATCGGCCTCCCACTCCTCCTCCTGCTGCCCACAGACGGTGGTGGACGTGGCGGCCCTGGACGAGCTCCTCAAGCACATCCACGAGGTCAGTGCCTCTGGCAGCCGCAGCATAACTGTGCTGACCTCACCGTGTGCCCCCCTACCGGGTAGCTCCAGTTCCAGCCATAACCACAGCAGCTTCAGATCCCAGCCCCAGATCCCCGAGACAGAGTCAGCCACGTACTACAGCTCCTCCACCCTGCCTAGGGACAGTCTGACCCGCCGCCTGGACGTGCCCCCGGACACCGCCGCCGCCGCCTCCTCCTCTGCCGGCGCCACCCCGCTGCAACAGCAGTCCATCCCCGAGCGGAGCGCAGTGACTCGCCACCACTCCCAGAGGCACTTAATGATCAAGATGGGCAACGGAGGGGCCGTCCCACGCCAACACAGCTTCAGACAGGGCGTGGGTGGGCCGCCACCCCACCAGCTGCTCACCCGGATGAACTCGGGAGGTGGTGGCGGGGGAGTGGTCGGCTGTGAGGCCCACCAGCCGCTCATCCCCAGTGCCTGCCTGACACGGCAGCACAGCTACAGCGAACCGCCCCACCTCCACCGCGCCGCCATCGTACGCCGCACGGCCTCCCTCAAGCCCCAGGTGCCCCCCAAACCCCTCTTCCTGCCCGCCACTTCACCCGTAAACGAGCAAGGAAAGTACAACTACTGAGCGCTAAGAAGTCGAACCGAGAGGCTCCGAAAAGACAGACGATGTAACCGCGCTCCTCTCAGAGTTAGGAAAACTACCGGGACTGGCACACCTTTTGGCGAGATGTCCGACAATAGCCTCGACACCTGATGAATGTCTTTGTACCATATTGGTATTATTCCAGTGCTATTTGATCACAGAACTGTGATGGAATTCACAGGATATAGAAATGTGGTGGTATTATATTGAGTTGTGGAGAGGGGGGGGGGGGGGGGTCTGTACCCTTCGGTGAGGCCAAAGAATAAAGTAACAGGAGCCCAGAACTCAATGTAAAGGACAAGATCACAAGTCGGCCACCGAAGCTTTGGACAATGCCTGCTTTAGCTTGGACCCAAGCCCTCAACCTAAGAAAGCACCTCATGACACGAACAAACATCCTGCCTGTAATATATGTATACTGTATGTGTGTGTGTATACAGGTATATGCACTGCACATGTGAAGATACACACAGGGCATAACCATGAAGCAGCTTCATGAACTGTGGTGAGACTCAACTCATAGCCATTTCTTAACCCTCTTATGACAGAGAGGCCATGGAGGCCCCACTCAGTACACATTCGGTATACATCCCTCGACGCAAGGGATTTAGCAATAACTTACCGTTGTGCAGCTAAGTATCAACTGGACCCCTTGAGGTAAGGGTAGGTACTGTACTTCATGCAGCATACCATATGAAATGACTACTTTGATAATGATTAATTCTGTATTAATGGAATGATGCTGCAGAACGAGACATGGCGTCAATATAGACCTATACATCACAGAGTTACTATTTTGTTTGTCACTGGTGGAAGGGGGCTCCGCTGCACCGTGACAGGAGGCCGCTTCGGGGCTTGATGAGTTAGGAGCATCCTTGACCTGGTAGTCTATGATAACGCCAGAGGAATTTAACAAGCCCCCAATATGACTGTCATTGAAGAATAGTATAGGGGTGCAGTGCAGTGCAACCTCAAAAATATTTTGTTTCATCCTTAACACTTGGTGAGAATTGGTTCCACATTGAGGTGCAATCATTCAGGCTATTCAAGTGTCTTAAAGCAGGGCCCCGAGAAATCACTCACGGGCACATAGTGCCCTCTTATGGACAAGCCCTTAATAACTGTAATAAAGTCAGTAATTATGTTTACCATATTGCTATTAACATTGTGGTTATTGGTGTAAATAAAGGCAACTGTGAAATAATACTAGCCGAACTTTGATTTGGATGTGTTAATGTGTGCCTTATTTAATAGCGTGGTGTTTAAAAAGGGCAAAAAGTATTTTTATCTGCATTATTCTCGGCCTGTTGTCATTACAAATTAATAGTCTTGCCTCCTGCACGGACTCATAGAGGTTCTGTTTCGACTGGCAGTTGAAGTCTACATTGTAGCGTGACAGATGTAAAAAAAAAAAAAAAAATGGCATTCCTTGTCAATCTTTGTTTCATACTCTTCAAGCTTCTTTATATTTTTTTGACAAGGGGGGCTTGATGGAAAAGATTTGAGTAGATCTGAAAGTATATCTGCAATGTTAGGTCTGTGCATCTGTGTCATGTGTTTTTTAAAGTTCTCAAATATGTTTGAAATAGTATGGACATAGGGTGAGGCATAACTGCTTTAAAAATACATTGTCTGTTGCGTTACAGATTCCGCAATAGAAATGTAAAGGTAATTTCCAATTGAGGCGACATACACAGCGTGAATGCAGTCTCCGCTAAAGCAGGGACATTGCCTTTAAGTTCCGATCACGCTGTAAAGCTGAATTTCCATGATGTGGATAGAATAGAGCCCCAAGTGTGGGGTGAAAGAGGCAAGCTGAGGGGGTTGCAAATGAAAATGCTGCAAGAAGCACTGAAAGGCTGGATGGTTGATGATGGCCTGGTCCAACAAATATGCTATTCAACTGAAGCTCAGCATTATAGGACATAAAATAGGTGTGTCTGGAGATGCATGAAGTGATGCCTACAGTGAGGTCACAGTGCCCATATGGGTAGTTATTTATTTGCTATTACTGTCAAAAAATAAACTCCCCCCCAAAACTATTTTGGTATTTGTTTAATGTTGGAACTATATCAACAATGGACTAATGAAACAAATACTAAAAGATAGTTTTGGGGTGGAATTTTCCTTTTAAATACAGTAATAGCACCTGGTGTGTGCGCGTGCAAGGAACCAAGACTTTAACAAGTGAGTTGATTGAGTGTGTGTACAGCACTGGCACCTTCTCTGCCTCAAGTTAAGCAGAAATACAGTATGAATATCAAATAATTCAATGCTAATGTCAATTGCAAGACACACAGCAATGTCATGACAACAGTAAAACCACGTTATCAATATCCCCTCTCCTCTGGCCACTTTGACAGAAAAAAAATTGAGTTGGATGCTAGAAGAGAATGTAAGCTGGTTACATTGGAGTACTTTATGCCAATATTGAGTTTACAGTGGGGGAAAAAAGTATTTAGTCAGCCACCAATTGTGCAAGTTCTCCCACTTAAAAAGATGAGAGAGGCCTGTAATTTTCATCATAGGTACACGTCAACTATGACAGACAAAATTAGGAAAAGAAATCCAGAAAATCACATTGTAGGATTTTTAATGAATTTATTTGCAAATTATGGTGGAAAATAAGTATTTGGTCAATAACAAAAGTTTCTCAATACTTTGTTATATACCCTTTGTTGGCAATGACACAGGTCAAACGTTTTCTGTAAGTCTTCACAAGGTTTTCACACACTGTTGCTGGTATTTTCTATGGGGTTGAGATCTGGAGACTGGCTAGGCCACTCCAGGACCTTGAAATGCTTCTTACGAAGCCACTCCTTCGTTGCCCGGGCGGTGTGTTTGGGATCATTGTCATGCTGAAAGACCCAGCCACGTTTCATCTTCAATGCCCTTGCTGGTGGAAGGAGGTTTTCACTCAAAATCTCACGATACATGGCCCCATTCATTCTTTCCTTTACACGGATCAGTCGTCCTGGTCCCTTTGCAGAAAAACAGCCCCAAAGCATGATGTTTCCACCCCCATGCTTCACAGTAGGTATGGTGTTCTTTGGATGCAACTCAGCATTCTTTGTCCTCCAAAAACGACGAGTTTAGTTTTTACCAAAAAGTTATATTTTGGTTTCATCTGACCATATGACATTCTCCCAATCCTCTTCTGGATCACCCAAATGCACTCTAGCAAACCTCAGATGGGCCTGGACATGTACTGGCTTAAGCAGGGGGACACGTCTGGCACTGCAGGATTTTAGTCCCTGGCGGCGTAGTGTGTTACTGATGGTAGGCTTTGTTACTTTGGTCCCAGCTCTCTGCAGGTCATTCACTAGGTCCCCCCGTGTGGTTCTGGGATTTTTGCTCACCGTTCTTGTCATCATTTTGACCCCACGGGGTGAGATCTTGCGTGGAGCCCCAGATCGAGGGAGATTATCAGTGGTCTTGTATGTCTTCCATTTCCTAATAATTGCTCCCACAGTTGATTTCTTCAAACCAAGCTGCTTACCTATTGCAGATTCAGTCTTCCCAGCCTGGTGCAGGTCTACAATTTTGTTTCTGGTGTCCTTTGACAGCTCTTTGGTCTTGGCCATAGTGGAGTTTGGAGTGTGACTGTTTGAGGTTGTGGACAGGTGTCTTTAATTTTTTACATTTTTACATTTTACGTCATTTAGCAGACGCTCTTATCCAGAGCGACTTACAGTTAGTGCATACATTATTCTTTTTTAATTTTCATACCCCATGGGAATCGAACCCACAACCCTGGCGTTGCAAACGCCATGCTCTACCAACTGAGCTACCTCCCTGCCGGCCATTCCCTCCCCTACCCTGGACGACGCTGGGCCAATTGTGCGCCGCCCCATTGGTCTCCCGGTTACGGCCGGCTACAGCAGAGCCTGGATATTATACTGATAACAAGTTCAAACAGGTGCCATTAATACAGGTAACGAGTGGATGACAGAGGAGCCTCTTAAAGAAGAAGTTACAGGTCTGTGAGAGCCAGAAATCTTGCTTGTTTGTAGGTGACCAAATACTTATTTTCCACCATAATTTGCAAATAAATTCATTAAAAATCCTACAATGTGATTTTCAGGATTTTTTTCTTCTCAATTTGTCTGTCATAGTTGACGTGTACCTATGATGAAAATTACAGGCCTCTCTCATCTTTTTAAGTGGGAGAACTTGCACAATTGGTGGCTGACTAAATACTTTTTTTCCCCACTGTATATGCAATGTATGCGTTTTCAATTGCTATAAAAATCGCGTCAGAAGAATGCTCTGACATGCATCTAAAATGTATTTCATTTGACATCTTATGTATCATACCACTCACTCGACCAATGAGGTTTGCTTTTTTGTAAATATAGCAAACGAGCAGTCACCTGCATCTCCGTTTCTGTTCACAAGTGGACTATGCCCCAGATGGTCCTGAGTTCTATTAAACACAGCTGTATGTCCCCTACAATTTAAAGATATCTAATAAAATGCTCTTCAAATGCATGTTGTACGTGTGTCAAATAGTTCATACAACTGAGCAGCACCTGTCTTATATGAAACAAGTCAATAGGGGCCTAATTCTGACCAGGTTTAAGTGCGTGTAAATGGAAAGTAATTCCCTTTTTTCTATGCATATTCTGACCTTGAACTTAAGCATGAGAATAGCGTGCTATTCACCTGTTATTTGTTCAGGTGGAGATCGACTAAATGAAGGTGTGGCGGAGGTGTGTCCGTATTTGGACATTGAATTAATTCCAGCACCTTTACGAGCAAGGAAACCATGAATGTGGTCTAGCAAACCTACCGGTACTGTCACACCCTGGCTCGGGGGACTCTATATGTTGAGCCAGGGTGTGTAGATTCCATGTGTTTATGTTCGGTGTGGGAGTTCTAGTTGTTGCTTTTCTATGTTGGCCAGAGTTGCTCCCAATCAGAGGCAACGAGTGTCAGCTGTTGCTGGTTGTCTCTGATTGGGAGCCATATTTAAACAGTCT